GGGTAAAGTTCTAACATGGTGGTAGGCACATAGTAGTAATCACTAGATGGCAGCTGTTTTTGTTATAAATTTCCATTCACAGTGAAAATTCCTCAGGAGGGTACGGGAGGAATGGTGAGGCAGGCAGAAGATTCTTCTAAGGCAAAAAGATGACAGATGCTGGTGCTAGGAGAGGGTACAGGGTGGTCTTAATGATGGGGACAGAGCCGCCCTGGGAGATAGCACATCCACCTCTCCTGCAGGCAGCTCCTCTCCTACATCACCAAGGACAAGCAGACTGAGACGCTGGTAGAGAAGTTGTGTCAGCGCTTCCGCACCGCCCGGTATGCCGCCCGCCTGCCTACAGGGTTCTCTGTGCTGAGAGGAGCCCCAAGGGCTGTGGGGGACGATGAGGAAGGATGGGCCTTTTCTTCCTGCATCTCGCTGCTCCTCACAAAGCCTTTTGCATCCGCAGAACCGAACGGCAGTACCGGGACCTGGCCTACTGTGTGTCACAGCTGCCCCTCACAGAGCGAGGCCTCCGAAAGATGCTGGACAGTTTTGACTGCTTTGGAGATAAACTGTCGGATGAGTCCATCTTCAGTGCTTTTCTGTCGGTTGTGAGCAAGCTGCGGCGTGGGGCCAAGCCTGAGGGCAAGGTGAATGCACCTGCCGCATCCCAGTGCTGGTTCACACGGCTGGGGCTGGCAGCTGTGTTCTGAGGCTCTGGGAGCCACCCAGGGTGCTGCCTGACTCCTCCCAGCTTGATTGCAACCAAGTAACCACAGCGACCTGAGACCAGTCTTTCTGTGCCAATTCCTGCTTCTTTGTTTCTTTATCTCTTTTTCTAATAGACTTTATTTTTTAGAGCAGCTTTAGGTTCAAAACAAAATTGAGTGGGAAGTATAGAGCTCCCCCATATGTCCCCTGCCCCCACACATGCACAGCCTCCCCCATTGTCAACTTCCCCCACCAGAGTGGCACATTTGTTACAATCGATGAGCCTACATTGGCACGTCATTAGCACCCAAAGTCCATAGTTTACACTGGAGTTCACCCCTGGTGGTGTATGTTCTGTGGATTTAGACAAACGTGTAATGACCTGTGTCCACCATATAGTATCAGACAGAATAGTTTCACTGCCCTAAAAATCCTCTGTACTCCCCCTGTTCATCCTTCCCTCCTCCAGCCCCTGGCAACCACTGATCTTCTTACTGTTGCAACGGTTTTGCCTTTTCCCAGAATGTCGTATAGTTGGAATCATACAGCACATGCCCTTCTCGGATTGGGTTCTTTCACTTAGTAATGTATATTTAAGGTTCCTCCTTGTCTTTTCATGGCCTTGTTTCTTTTTAATCATAGAAATAACTATATTTCCAGGCCTGCTCTTACTCTCTTTTTCTCTCTAGGCTATACTAGATGAATTTGAGCAGAAGCTTCGGGCCTGTCACACCAGAGGGCTGGATGCAATAGAGGAACTTGAGAGTGGCCAGGGAGGTAGCCAGCGAGCCCCATCAGCCAGGAAACAATCCGCTGGTACGTGAGGCAGCCCCACGGGAGAGAGACCAGACCAGGCCCACTTCTTAGAGAGGCTCCTTTTTTTCTCTGTGTGGACTTATGCGTCTGCCTTTTCTAGTCTCTAGGCACCAGCATCTGGCTCCTGCAGCCTGGGACAATGACTTTGTCACACCTGAGCCCCGCCGTACTACCCGTCGGCATCCAAACACCCGGCAGCCAGTTTCAAAAAAGAAATCCAGAATTGTCTTCTCGAGTGATGAGTCCAGCGAGGAAGGTACGGTGCTCCCTCCTGGCCCAGCCCAGGAGGAACACAGCTTGGGGGGGGCTGGTTTGGTGGGGTCCTGCTGTGTAGAGTCTCCACCCGCTCGCTTGAGGGCGTTTTCCTCCCTGTGCAGGCGCAGTTCAGGTTTTATTTCTGCAGTGTGGGCTGGGGCTGTCCCATTTGTTCTCTGAGATCTCTTTTCACCATCTTTGTGACTCAGCTTTTTCTAATTCCTCCAATTCTTTGAATAGAGCTTTCAGCAGAGATGACAGAAGACGAGACACCCAAGAAAACAACCCCCATCCGCAGAGCATGGACTCGCAGGCACAGGTCCTAGGGGTCCTCTAGCCTGTTCCCATCCCTGCTGTGCAGGGAATCTTGTGGGTGACCTTGAATTCCATTCTCCTTGTAAAATACTGGTTTGCCTGTCTCCTTGTTTTTTTAATGCATAAGTGGTCTTTATAATGTGAGCCGTTTCTCTCACACTTGCCTGACTGAACCGAGTTGAGCTGCTTTCATGGGAATATATGTTTGCCAGTCTGCTTGTTTTCTAATGAATAAATGTTTTTATATACTTTTAGACATTTTTCCTAAGCGTTTCTTTGTTTCATCTTTCACATTAGCCCAGATGCAGGTGGCAGAGAGAGGGTTATCAGTCCAGGAAGAGAAGAGCCAAGGAGTCCTGGGGCCCCTCTCAAGATCTGATATGCTTCGTGCCCCTCAGTGCCTCATCCTTCCCTTCTTGACCTCGCCCCTCTGCATAAGTGACAGGACTGCTCCACTCTGGAGAATTATGCAGTGTCTAGACTCCAGATCAGCGCTCTCAAGTTGGGGGGTATTTTGCCCTCCAGGGGACATTTGGCAATGTCTAGAGACTTTTTGTTGTCATAACCTAGGGGGAAGGGATGCTACCAGCATCTAGTGGGTAGAAGCCAGGGATGTTGCTAAATATCCTGCAATGCACGGGACAGACCCCGCAACAAAGAATCATTCAGCCCAAAATGGCCATCAATAGTGCTGAGGTTGAGAAACCCTGCTCTAGACCAAGGGCTGGCATCCTCTGTGTGTCCGTCCCCCCGCGCCCCCCGGCCCCGGCCTCACTTGTGCTCCCTAATCCCACCTCTGAGGACCTGGCCAGGCTAATGGAAGGTCAGGGCATGATCCCCTCCAGCTCTAGACAATGTCTCTGGAGACTGTGTCTCCCAGGGACTCCTCCCCATGTTCCAGGGTCTGCAGGAAGTCGGGCCCCCCCAGGTGCAGGCACTGCTCTGTGCTGCCACCTGAAGCTGTCCACCCCCTCCACCTCCCCACGTCTTCTCTGCTGAGTCACCTGGAGCAGGAGGCAGGGAGCCTGCTGTCATGACAACACTGGTGTCTTTGCTGTCATGACAACAGCAGACTGCGTCAGTAGTGCTCCTGGGCACTGAGCTCCCTCTTTTTGGCAGAGAACAATAATAAAAAATGACAAGCATGAGGCGAAGGGGAAGACAGTACCTCAGACACTTGCTTTGGGTGGTGCAGGGACATGGAGGGGCTCCTAAGGCCCTTGTCAGGAAAGGGTTAATGGTCCTGGTGGAGCCTGAGCAGGAATGGACAAGGAGCAGCTGAGTCCACTTCAGCAGACTCTGCAGTGTGGCGCTTCCCATCTCCTCTCACCGTTAGGTGCCCTCTGGCCCCGTTCTTGCTGTTCATGAAAAGCCTGGGCACCAATCATGCAGATGGCTGCCAGGCACAGGCACAGCCGTGGCTCTGGGGCCCCAAGGAGGGAGGGCAATCCCAGAAAGGGAAAGGACTGGGGCTGGAGTCTGGGTGTGCGACAGCGTGCTCTCTGCCTCTTAAGCAAAGGTTATCACCAGGCGGGCTAAACTTAGCCTGTCAGCTAGAAAAGGGGGCTGGTCTCAGGTTACGCTGGGCCAGCAAAGAGGCCCCAGGATCCCTGTCCCCCAGCACCTGCTGATAGGCAACGTCCATTCCACCCCACCCCCTTCTTAACCCTCACTCCTTTCACGTGCTCAGAAGCAGTCCTTTCTCCAACCTCAGCTCACAAACTTGGCACAGCCAGGCATCCTGACCCCTCGCGGAGGGGAATGGATCCTCTCCTCTACCTCACGTGTGGGAAGGGGCTGGGGACCTGTTCCCACCATGTACCCAAGACCTCCCATTTTTTCCCTACTCTGGACTCCTCACCCTGCCCCCAACAGCCCCGGGCGGGCGCAGCCAGTGAAGGGGAGTCCCTGGCTCCAGGACTGGGCCGCACGTCCCAGAGTGGGGAGGGACTTCCGCCCTCACGTCCCGCTCTCTGCCTTGGGCTGGAGGGGTGAAAGGGGCATTGTCTCCAAGCCTGGGCGGCGCGGCACGCGGGTTTCCCAGGAGACACTTTGTGGGAGGCACCACCCAGCCCCCAAGAGTGATCCGTCCTCCCGCTGGGGCCCTGGCCTAGGGGAGAGCATCTGGTGCACACAGGGCCTGGTTTGTCTGCCCCAATTATCAGGTCTCCAGGCTGCCCGAGCTGCAGGACAGCGTGACCTTCAGCGCAGAAACCCTCCCCCGGGCAAACATCCTCCTGAGCCTCCTTCCTCTCCAGGCCCCACTGCCCAGTGCCCAGCCCAGGCCCCCGGCCCAGAGGGGCCTGGAGCCAGGAGATGGGGAGGAGGAAGTGGGGGCTGGGAAGGGCCCCGCAGAAGGCGGATTGGCCCCTCCCCGGCCTTCTACTCGGCTGTTCCTATGTCACTACCGAAGAGCCTCGAGGAGAAGTGCCTCAGCCTTGGAAAGAAGGGGGAGGGGGTGGCAGTGTGCAGCCGCCAACGTGACCCGGGCTCCGGCTCCAATTCCTCATCCCACCAGCTCCCAAAATCCTCCCGTTTCATCCGTGCAGCAACTTTAACTTCCCTGGCTCCTGGATATCCTCAGTTCTCACCAGGACCCCTGTCCTCGAGTCCACAGTCTCCTGCATGCCACAGTCCCGTCCTAGGCACCATCACCGATCACCTCCCCCATTGGGCCAGTCTCAGTCCCCTCCCCTTCTCTGTCCCTAGCCCACACGCGTGGTGCGGGCACATCTGAAGAGCCGGCGGGTTCAAAAAAAAAAGGCAGGCCCGGCTACTCGCGGTTTTACGGGCGCACGTAGCTCAGGCCTCTGCGCCCCAGTGCCGGCACTTGGGGGCCGGCAGGAGGCGGGGCCGCGTCGCCACGCCCCGGCCCCCCCTCCCTCGCCTCTATAAATTGGGACAGCAGTCTGCGACTGTGCTCTCTGTTCCTGCCCCTTCGACGGATAGCCGTGTTTCTTGCGCAGTGCTAGGTAAAAACAGGCAAAGCGGGGCCACCAAGGGCTCAGGAACTGTTCCGAAAGGGGCGCGGGGCTTGCGCAGGCCAGGAGCTCGGCTGCGCGGTGCGGGCTCGGGGTGTGCGCGGCCGGGCCTCCGCATTGCAGGGGCCGGACGTGCGGAAACGCGGGTTGGGAATGGACGCATGGGGGAGGGGAGCGGCGGGGAGGGCGACGGCCGGACTCCAGCGCTCCCCGCCCCCGCGTGCTAATGCTCGCCTTTCTCTTCCCGCAGCCGCGTGCCCGGGACACGATGGTGAAGGTCGGAGTAAACGGGTGAGTTCGGGAATGGGCTGGGTGTGGGGCATTGAGTTCTGCGGCCCCCAGCAGTTTGCCCTACCCGGGTCTCTGCGAGCGCGTGGGGAAGGTGGGTGGGATGGTCGAGCGACCCCACCGAGGAGAACTCAAGGTCAGCGCTCAGACCTGGCAGAGGCTCCCGCCTCAAAGGGCCTCGTGTCTCCCACCCCCAGCTGTTGCGCTTGCTGTAATTCCACTCCTGTAGGGACAGCTTGCCCGGAGTCTTCCACTCCACCGACCATGGACAGACGAGTCCCCAATTCTTGCTTTGGACCCATCCCCTTAATCTCCTAGCTGGGGCTTCTTTTTTCCTTTCGCGCCCTGCGGGGTCATGTGCTGGAGAGGAGCCTCTCCCCCCACCAGCCTCCTTCCCCTCACCTAGCCAGGCCCAGGCCCAGCAGGGGGATGCAGAAGGCACAGCGTGGGAGGGTTCATTTGCGGTAACCCAGCCGCCATGTTGCAACTGGGAAGGAAATGAATGAACCACCGTTAGGAAACCTGCCTTAGGTCTTCAGTCTTCCTCCTCCTCCCTTGCCTGTGACTAACCCTCCAACTCCTGCCTCTATGGGGTGGAGTCGCCTTTATCCGGTAAAGTAGGTGAGGCAAGGCTTTCCCCGCTCTTGCTTTCAAAAGAGCTGGACCTCAGAACTGGGACCATATTAACCCTGGACCATCCCTTAAACAACCAGCTAAATTTGCCCTCAGGGATAATGCTTTTCTTAGATGATTCTCTGATGGATCAAAAACGGGGATTTATGGGGGTCCTCTTGCGTGTTTTTGGGGGGGGAGCTGTGGCAGCGGTGGCTTAGTGCCATGTTGGGGGAGCTGAGTCATGGGGAGTTAGAAATTTTCCACCACAAAATGGCTCCTGCAGCAGCAGCCCCTTTCTTTCATCCATGCCTAGAGCTGACCCAACCCCAAAGGCCAGGCCGTAAAGGTCACTGGGAGGATTAGGTGTCTGTGAGCCTTGGGAATCCTGCCCTTCTCCCCATTCCATCTTCCAGAAACCAGATCCCCACTCCACCCTAATCTGAGGTTAAATATAGCTGCCTGACCTTTCTGCAGCTGGGGGCCTGGCCAGTCTGCTCTCTTCCACCTCCTTCCCTCCCACACACATCTGTTGCTACTGCTCCTGATTTTTGGAAAAGAGCTAGGAAGGATGGGTAGTTTAGCAAATTAGAACCCAGGGATTAGGGGCTTGAGAAACCATGTTTTCCCTGTCTCCTTCCCTTTTGTGGGGGGGACTTGGAAGATGGGTGGGCTTTCCCCATCCAGTTAACTTGCGACCTTTACTCTTGCCCTTTGAGCTTGGTGATGCTGAGTGCACAGTCTTGCTCCTGAGAGGGTGTAGCCTGAAGTTGGGCCAGACAGGAACAAGCCTTCCCAGGGCAGATAGCTGGGGTGATGAATGCCATGTGCCAGGCATGTGCCCTGACTTTGGATGGCAGCAGCGCACCCTGCACTGCTGTTTCTCCCTGAAGGACTTCAGATGGCTAGGGGGTGGGCAAGTCTGTGAGCCTGATCACCTCTTGGAAAGGATAGGAGCCTTCACTTTATGACTAAGCTGTGCCTGGAGGAAGATAAAATTAGACCTCTTGGAGCTCTCTGGTGGTGGGATGGCCATCTTCCCTCTGAAAGAGGATGAGTTGGCCTAGGGCTGCTTACATACACGATAGGGTAGAAGTCTGTACTTCCTCCTCCTCATGCCTTCTCACCTTTTGTCTCCCTCAGATTTGGCCGTATTGGGCGCCTGGTCACCAGGGCTGCTTTTAACTCTGGCAAAGTGGATATTGTCGCCATCAATGACCCCTTCATTGACCTCAACTACATGGTGAGTGCCGCCCATGCAGCTGGTATGGGGAGCAGAGCCTGGCTGAAGCACAGCCCTTTGATGCCTTCATTTGTTCCTCCAGGTCTACATGTTCCAGTATGATTCCACCCATGGCAAGTTTCATGGCACAGTCAAGGCTGAGCACGGGAAGCTTGTCATCAATGGAAAGGCCATCACCATCTTCCAGGAGTAAGTATGGAAGACGAAACAGGAAGAAGAAATCTGCCTTTGGGGAGGTACTAGAATGGGGTGACCACCTTGGGTACGTGGTACCTCATGTCCCTGAGCTTTGTCTTGTCGTCCTTTGTAGGCGAGATCCCGCCAACATCAAATGGGGTGATGCTGGTGCTGAATACGTTGTGGAGTCCACTGGTGTCTTCACTACAATGGAGAAGGCTGGGGTGAGTGGCAGGGAAGCTAAAGAGAGGGGAGTTGACCCTGAGATTTGGTGTAGCAGAAAGGGGGCAGGGGGCTGGCTTCAACCTGGAAAGATAGAACCTGGGTTTGTAATGCCTCCTCTACTGCAGGCTCACTTGAAGGGTGGAGCCAAAAGGGTCATCATCTCTGCCCCTTCTGCTGATGCCCCCATGTTTGTGATGGGTGTGAACCATGAGAAGTATGACAATTCCCTCAAGATTGTCAGGTGAGCATGGCGGAGGGGAGTTGAGAGGGGAATGAAGGAGTGGTCAGATAGTACTACATGTTACAAGATGGAATGCTCTTTCTCTCTTTTCAGCAATGCTTCCTGCACCACCAATTGCTTGGCTCCTCTGGCCAAGGTCATCCATGACCACTTTGGCATCGTTGAGGGACTCATGGTATGAGTGGAGAAAGTGACCAGAGCACATTCATTTCTCACCCAGAATTGGATCCTTCTGTTTCCTTAGAACATAGTCTAGGGCTGTGGGACACAGGGGGTTCCAAGGGATTGGCTCGGGTCACTCTAACCCTTAATTCTTCCTAAGGGGAGGAGGAAGGTTGAAGAGTGGGTGACATGCTGAGCATTATGTGGGACCTTCACTCCCTCCCTGTTTCCAGACCACCGTCCATGCCATCACTGCCACCCAGAAGACCGTGGATGGCCCCTCTGGGAAGATGTGGCGTGATGGCCGAGGGGCTGCCCAGAACATCATCCCTGCTTCTACTGGCGCTGCCAAGGCTGTGGGCAAGGTCATCCCTGAGCTGAATGGGTGAGTCTCTCTGCTGCTTTTCTGCCCTGGGATCTGGGGAGCCAGAAGGAGTGGTGCTGACCCTGCTTCCCTGTGTCTACAGGAAGCTCACTGGCATGGCCTTCCGTGTCCCCACCCCCAACGTGTCGGTCGTGGATCTGACCTGCCGCCTGGAGAAAGCTGTACGTAGGGATTGGAACAGCTTTGTGGGGCTGGGGGTTTATGTCTCTGGTAGAACAGTGGCAAGATTGGAACATGAATGATCATCTCACTTTTACCTCGTTAGGCCAAATACGATGAAATCAAGAAGGTGGTGAAGCAGGCATCGGAGGGCCCCCTCAAGGGTATCCTGGGCTACACTGAGGACCAGGTACTGATAGGACAGGGAACTTGGTGTCCGCCTGGCCCTATTGAGCAAGATTGGGTTCCCATACTTGCCCTCTGTTCCCCAGGTTGTCTCCTGCGACTTTAACAGTGACCCCCACTCTTCCACCTTCGATGCTGGGGCTGGCATTGCCCTCAATGACCACTTTGTCAAGCTCATTTCCTGGTATGTGGCTGGGGTCTGGGACAATGCTTAACAGAGTGAGTCTGGCGCCTTCTGGTGGCTGGCTTGTGAAAATACCCCTTAACTCTTGATCTCCTTCCAGGTATGACAATGAATTTGGCTACAGCAATAGGGTGGTGGACCTTATGGCCCACATGGCCTCCAAGGAGTAAGAGCCCCCTGGACCACCAGTCACCCCAGCAAGAGAAAGATGACCTCAGCTGCTGGGAGTCCTTGCCCCACCTTGAGCCCCTAACACACTGAGAGTCTCCCAACTTCCAGTTTCCATCTCAGACCCCCTGAAGAAGGGGAGGGCTTGGGGAGCCCTACCGTGTCATGTATCATCAATAAAGTACACTGTACCCCATCAATTTTGTTTTGTCTTACTCTGGAGTCTAGGATAAAGGGGAGGGAAGCTGGGCAAGTGCCAAGGTAAAATAGATCTTGCTCAGAGCACCCAAGGGCCTGGCGTGCAGCGACCAGAGCCAAGGTGACTGAAAGCCTCCCTTAGGGAGGGGCATGCCCAGGCCCTGCTCCTCTGAGGAAGTCTGTCCAAGGCCTCTGGGTGCTGCAGGAAGCCAGCCGACCCCCTCAGGGGGCCAGGCCATTTTCTCGCCATGCTCCAGCCCCAGATTACTCGCTGGAGGCTGAACCTGGGAGCCACCTGGCCACTGCTATGCTGTTTGCAGCCCCAGGAAGGTGACACTGGCACAGGAAGTCAGGGCTTTTAGAGTTGGGCTACCAAGTCCATATGGCTTTGACTGGTTACCCAGCTTCTCTGAAGCAGCCCTAGTGGAGAGCACGGTGCACCCAGCCCAACGGCCAGGGTGCAAACTCCAGCTCTGCCTCGCAGCTCCGAGGTCTCGAGCAAGTTACTTTCCTTTCTGTGCTCTAGTTACTCCCTCTGCAAACTGAGGATATGCTAGTCCCCAGTTCCCAAATTCTTTACAAGGATTATATTAGGTCTGTTATAGATTGGGCTAGAATCACGTCCAATGTTACACAGTAAGCACCATAGAGTAAATAAACCAGGAAAATGAGGGTGCTGCCCACCTCCTGTAGTCCCCAGGAAGTGGCAGGATGACTAACAACATTCCTGTCATCCATGGGTGGGGGACAGGCTGGGCGCTAGCGAATTGGGTTGAGACCCTGCTGCCACCTGAGGCTCTGTGACTTTGGGCAAGTTACTTAGACCTCCTGTGCCTCACTCTGCACCAGCATGTTTGTAAAATGGTGAAAACTAGTACCTCAGAGGATTGTGTAGCTACCTCCAGGAAGTGCTTGAAACAGTGACACAAGAGTGTTCAATAAATACTCTCAAGTTTCATTATTATTAAAGATTCCATCGAACATTAGCTCAGCACATCCTCCCCAAGGCAGTTATGCTGAGGTAGCCTCAGTCACATCTCCAATTTTTCCAAGCTTTTCCAAGTCTGGGACATCTCAGCCTGGTGGTCTCAGTGTGACAAACATGGAGGAGGCACAGCTTCAGCTGGTAACTGAAGACACTGAGACCAAGCACACGTGCACACACACACCCACGTGCACACACAAAGCAGCTTCCCCATTTTCTCTGTCACTCAGCAGTGACTGGGAAACAAGAGCTTCCATCTCCAGCATACTGCACCCGGTCAGACCCAGAGGCCGCCGAGACAGGGCACTGGGGCCCCTTGAATGCATGGCACTAACAGGGCAGGGTTAGAGCTACGTTACTCTGCCACCGACGGGCAGGCAGCCGTGAGCACTGGGACAACAGAGGGAGGACAGAGCACCCCGCCTAGCCTGGCTTCCCCCACCAGGACACAGAGGGAAGTCCTCTCCCATTGCATGGGTTGCACAAGCCACGGAACACCCAGCCTAATCCACTTCATACCAGTGCCTGGGCCAGTTAGCACCAGTACAGAATCAGACAGTGAGGTGGCTCTAGGCCACAGGGATGGAAGGAATATCCGACAATCACATTCCCTACTCAATGGAGAAGGTAAGGGGCCACAATCGCTCTGGCAGCATTTTAAACATGGGAAAGTAGCAGACGCCCACACATGAAGGCAGCAGAGCCCAGGCTGCGGTGGGAGTTGCCCAGGAAATGGTAGGCCAAGCCTTGCTCCAGACACCCTGAAACCCCGGAGAGGCCAAGGACCAAGGGAGGAAGCCCGAGGGAGGAGCGCCCCAGTCCGCATGGCCAGGCTTGGTGCAGCAAAACAAACGTAGCTCCCCTTCTGTGAACCCCCGAACCCTCTGCTTCGGTGAGCTCCCAGCAGGGTGGGGTCCCAGGGAAGCCAAGCTGGAGGCAGGTCCCTATCTCATGGAGCTATCAGATGAGACATCGCGATCGGAGTCCTCAGTCTCGCTTGGCGGTGGCGGCGGCGGGTCGCTAAGCGGGACCGCAGTGAAAGCAGGAGACTTTCTAGAAAAAAACACCAGTTGTCACCTTGGGGTAGGCAGGGATCCTGAGGAGGCTGGCACTCCTCTCCCCTGGCCTTGTTCTTGGCAGGCAGGTGAATAAAACCTTCAGCAAGGGCAGGAGGACCACAGGCTGAGGGTGAATGCGGGGTAAGGGAGAGGGGAGGGGAGAAAGCTCTCCCACCCCACCCTGACGGGGGAAATGGTTCCTGTCTCTATCATGGACTCTGAGAGGCTCAGAGTTCAGAAACATCTGAAGTCACAGTATGAGAGCTGTTGCCTGAGCCTAGTGCACTAACTTGATGGCCCCAGCTTCATGTCTATCTGAAGTATTTTTGTGAATTTTATTTAATTGACTTTTTTGTGGAGGTATAACTTACACAGGGTTAAATGCATGAATCATGGCGCTGACTTGAAATAAAAACCTGCCCCCCCACCCCTTCTGTTCCTTGTCAGTTTTTAGCTGCCTCTAACCAGGGGAACCACCAGAGTTGGTGCAATTGGGAAGTTTCAGCTGTCCAGCCATGATGGACATACATATCATTCAACTACCACGGGAAAGAAAGCTGTCGGGGGGCCAGCCCCATGGCGTAGCGGTTAAGTGCACACGCTCTGCTGCTGGCGGCCTGGATTCGGATCCCGGGCGCGCACGGATGCACCGCTTGTCAGGCCATGCTGTAGCGGCGTCCCATATAAAGTGGAGGAAGATGGGCATGGATGTTAGCCCAGGGCCAGTCTTCCTCAGCAAAAAAAAAAAAAAAAAAAAAGGAAAGAAAAAGAAAGCTGTCGGACTGGGCCAGACACACAGGTGATCTCCAACGAGAGCCCCACATCAAGACGGGACTGAGTCACTGCCGAAGGGGGTTCAGGGCCTGCCCACTGAGGGGCTCTGGTCCAGCACTCCCGCCCTGCATGCACCCACAGAGGAAGGTAGGCAGGGCCCCACACTCCAGGGAAGGCCCTTACCGGTCTCCGGACTGGGTGATGAGCCGGCGGCAGGTCTCCATCTGCACGTCCAGACCTCGCTTCATGCTGCACATCTCCATGTACTCGTGCAGGTGCCGGTTCATGTCGTTCTTGGCAGTGGCCAGCTCCAGCTGTGGCAGGGGCAGGGCAGGGCCATTGGGTCAGCAGGGCCCTGCTCCCAACCCCTAGGAAACTAACACACCCAGAGCACTCCGGGCAGGGCGCCCAGGCAGCCGTGCTTGAGGGCTCAGATTTAAAAATAAATCAGATCAAGGCAGAAGGCACCCAATATACTATCACTCCTCCTAGTTTTCCTGGGGAAAAAACTTTGCCTACACAGGACTGCAAAGGGATCTGCTACAGGCCTGCGCTCTTTTAACAGACTCATTGATGAGAGCAATGAGGAAAGGAATGTAAATGGGCAGGATGGAGAGGACCCGAGAGCACAGGGCTGCTATCTGTGGATGGCCTTGCTCCCTCCCTGGGGTTCCTACATGGCTTGCCTCATCCCTCATCCCTCACTCCCCGTACAACGCTGAACCCAGTCTGTCTCTCTCACTCAACTGGGAGCTCCTAGAAGGGCTGGCCACGGGGGTTGTTCATCTCTGCCTGTGCATGCCCAGCACCTTGATGGGAAATTAATTAATTGACTTTGTGAGGCATCTACAAGACTCACGGCACAAAGAACAGCAGTCTGCACTGCTGAAAGGGGCTCGATTCTCTTAGCATCCATTTTCTCCATATTACTTTATTTTCTCACTTGTAAGCCATTTTCAGAGACTAACAGAAAGACTCCCTGCCACATCGAATGTCCTACTGGTTGCAAGATGTATCTCGATTTAAGAAATGTTATATGTGAAAAAATGAGGGGCTCAGAGTCAAGGAAATCCAGTCTCCCTCCCAGAGCCCAACGCTGCGCCCAAGCTTCAAGGCAGAGCTGAGAGGCCACGCAAAGGCAGTAAAAGCCCTGGGCCAGAGACAGTCCATTGCTCCCTTTGGGGTACAAAGGACAGAAGGGGAGGCAGAATGAACTTGCTGGGAAGTGATCTGCTTGACTGCCTGAGAGCAAAGAGCAAGTGCAGGAGAATAGCCATGAAGTATGTGAACTGGACAGAGGAGACCACCCATAATTCATCCAAACTGGACAGAGAGGATGGGAACGTGGAGAAAGAAGTAAACGGGTCACAGGGCAGACAAGAGAAGTCAGGACAATGATGTTTGGGATGAGACGGGGCTGGGGGGATCAGAAGCCCTAGTGAGTACAGCTCAAATGGCAGCCTTGGTGCCAGAGCTGGGATTCCAGCTGGGGTCCCACAGCAGCCAGCCAGAGGAGCAGGATGCACTGACAATCTAGAAAGAAAACATGATGCCACCAGCTCTTGTTCACATTGGCTGCCACCTACACCCCAATTTCTCCACCTCGGAGAGCCGGAGTGGAAGGGGCTGGTTCTGGAGCCCATCCCTCAGTGGGATGGGAAAGAAGGAAATGAACCAGGTCTATTCCATGAAAATACAAGGCTATGACTACCACCAGCTGTCTCCACATGGGGGTATGTCTCCCCTTAATTCACACACTGCAAGCAGGGAGGAAGTCAGGAGATGACCGCATGTGAGGAGGTGTCTGCAACACCTCACACTGGAAACTCCAGACTCGCTGTGTGACCAGAGGTGGGGGAGGGCTGGGAGCTGCCAGAGAGAGGAGGAGCTAAGGGAGAAAGAGCTCCCTACTCCCCTCCACCCTGGGCCTTGGCTTTCCCATCCAATAATGGGAAATGGTCCTTGCCACCATCTTGGTGACCCTGAGAGATCAAAGGTCACTGAGATAAAGGGACCTCAGGTGCCCCAGATGAATCACCAAGAGCAACACTGCCACCAAAGCCACCATGTCAACTCTGCTAACATTTCTCCTAATATCATTCTCCTGGGAGAGAAGAAGACAGCAAGATGGGTGCAAATGGGAGAGCGGAGAGCAGTTCTCCCTTCCCATCTCCTCGGCTAGTAGCACAAACCTGGCTGTGTCTTAAAACCTAGGCTTTGTCTGCCTGGGCAAAAAATAAAAGAAGGTTTTGCTTAAAAGAGCAGGACCATTTGATATGTGTTGGGAGAATGAGTATGTAGGAAAATAATTTCTCAACTTTTTCTCAAAATGCAGGCAGTGTGAGAGTAGTACGAGTGTAAATCTGCCACGTGGGCTGGAAGGGAGGCTGAGGGTTACAGCAGCCGCCGGCCTCACCTGTCAGAGTGCCCAGGGAAGGGCTCTCTCCCACACGGGCAGGAGGCTCACAGAATCCCATCCAACCCTCCCTGCAGCCCCCTTCATCCAGGGTGCCGCAAATCCTTCCTGCAGCCCTGAGCATCAGAGGGTTTAAGTTAAAGCGCCTGCTCCACTTGCCATCTCTAGAAGGTTCCTCAGGGTGAGGGAATAAGAAGGGAAGTTCCTCCATTAGCTCAAAGGATGAGCTGAAGAAGCAGCAAAGTTCCACTCCCCTCTCAGTGGAGTCTGCTCCAGCACTGACAGTGGTAGTAACAGTAATAACAAACTACCCTATGATATGCTTACTGTGAGACAGACCTGCCCAAGCTCTACTTGTGCATTATGCCATTTGATCTTCAAACAACCCTACGAGAGAGGATTATTAAGATCCCCATTTTACAAATAAAGGAACAGGCTCAGAGAGAATAAGCAGCTTGTTAAAAGTTCGCGTGGTAGGGCCGGCCCGGTGGCTTAGCGGTTAAGTGCGCGCGCTCTGCTGTTGGCGGCCCGGGTTCGGATCCCGGGCGCGCACCAACGTACTGCTTCTCCGGCCATGCTGAGGCCACGTCCCACATACAGCAACTAGAAGGATGTGCAACTATGACATACAACTATCTACTGGGGCTTTGGGGGAAAACATAAATAAATAAAATTAAAAAAAAAAAAAAGTTCGCGTGGTAGTGAGTAAGCGGCAGAGCTGAGATTTGAACTCGCATCTGTCTGCCTCCCTCCAGAGCCTGAGGTCTGAAGGTACTACAGCTGGGAGACACTCCTCCCCCACACAAGGAAGGGGAAGGCCTTGGTGTCTTGGGTCCCGCAGGGGTGAGGCCACTGCACCTGCGGCCCCACTTACGACCCACCGGGAACCTGTGCCCCTCGGCTTCTGCTCACGTCCTTACCTCTATCTGGTCAATGGTTTCCTGATATTCTTTCTCCCGGGTTTTGAACAGGGACTCGGTATCTTTAATCACCTTCTCCAAACTGTCTTCCTGCTGCTGGAGTAGAAAGGGAAGCAGCGGGAGGCCAATGGGCAGGGATGGGATGGGGGCATTCCACAGGGCCAAGGTGGGGGAGCGAGAGAAAAGTCAGGTTAAAGGAAACTGGAGAAGAAAAGAAAAGGATAAAGGAAGAGGGGAGAAGCAGGTAAAGGACGATGGCCACAGAGGGAAAACAGAGCAAGGAGTGGAGGGAGGGGGAAGGACACAGGCCATCAAGCTGGAGAGGCAGCACTGGAGGGGCCCTGAGGCCGGGAGGGGTGGTTACCTCTCCCTGGGCCTCTGCAGCTGCCATGGCATAGCCTGAGAAATCCTCCCACAGCAGCAGGGTCTCCTCAGTCTCCTCCCAAGTCAGGCTGTCACAGTCGTCCTCAAAATCATACTCCCTCCTAGAGACAGGGAACCCGTGTGTCAAGGAAGGTGGGGCCTTCCTTCTGGCGGAGGGGACTGGTGGGTGGGAGCTCCGGCCTCCTGGGGGGCTGCTGAGGATGGGCCTGCGGGACTCACAGCTGGTTGAGCATGCGCTGCATCTCCTCGTTGATGCTGAGGGCTGTGCTCTCTTCCTCATCCCCATCGGGCTGGCGGGGCCCGTCACTCTCCAACAGGGAGGTGTCCTCCTCGATGGCAGCCTTGCGCTCCCGCTTCCGCCCCCCCATGGATGGGACCTTAATGGGAGACAAGTGCAGAGACTACAGAGACGAGGCCGGGTGCATGAGGAGAAAGGGCGGGGTGGGAGCCGGCAGGGCGGGGGG